GTATATATTAATGACTTACCTTACATAGTAGGGGCCAGGAACCATAATGTAATATTATATGCTGATGACACTTCATTAATTTTCAAATTAAAACGACAATCACTAAAATATGATGAAGTAAATAATGATATATCTAAATAAGTAAATTGGTTCATTGTTAACAATTTGTATTTAAATGGCACTAAAACAAAATGTATGAAATACATGATTCCAAAAATGTCAAACAATTAAATACTAATGTAATTTTAAATGGGGAGGAAATGAGTCTTGTCGATACTACCATTTTTCTTGGAATCACACTAGACGCGAAGCTTCAATGGAACCCCCATACATCAAAACTAGCTAGCAGACTCAGTGCTGCAGCATATGCTGTAAAAAAGATTAGAAATCGTATCAGTGTTGAAACAGCTATACTAGTCTACCTTAGCTATTTCCATGGCATAATGTCATATGGTAGTTTGCTATAGGGACACGTTGCTGACACTAAAATTATGTTTGTTTTACCAAAGAGGACCATAAGAGCAATTTATAATTTAAAGCCTAAAGAGTCGTTACGACAAAAATTTAAGGAAATTAATATATTAACCTTGGCTTCTCAGTAAATTTATGAAAATGTAATGCACGAACACAAAAATAAAAGTAGTTTTACAAAAATAAGTGATAATTATTCTGTAAATACTAGGAACAGACACAAGCTAGTAGTACCAGTTACTCGACTTCACCGAGTCAATAATACATTTTTGGGGCAATGTGTACGCTTTTAAAACAAAATCCCAGAAAATATACAAAATTCGACCTGCTCAAAGTTCAAAAACTTTATTAAACTAAGTTTAAAAGGGTCATTATAATATTAAGGAATTCATGTATGATAATAACCCCTGCGAATGAGGTGATCGCTACCAAGCTATCATCGATCATTGTATAACATACATGATTGTAAGTTGTTATTTAAAAAAAAAGTCCCGCTGCATTTCTTGCTGGTTCTTCTCAGGACAGAGGATTTTATTTCAAACCAGTGGTAATTAAACAAAAAAGAGTGACTTTCAATAAGTATTATTTATAATCTATATTGAATAAAAAGTTTTTGTTTCTGTTTCTGATAAAAAAGGTCTTTTTATGTAATTTCATTTTGAATAGTAAAAATCCAACATTTTATTATTCGTATATCAAAAGTAAATACAAATAAAAAAATTAAAATCAAAATACTAAAAAAAAATATTAATAAATATTAAAACGGCAATGAGATGAAGAAAATTTTTAAAATTATTGTTTCAATTACAAAAAAATATAAAAAAAATTAAGCCCCAATGCGAGAAAGCAGCTACCGATCTTTCCATGACTGTATTTAAGGAATAATCTTCAGATTCAAGCTCGCACGCGCTCGCTTTGTAAGCGCACCGCGTGTAATACCTGTATTCACAGAATGAATATCACTTATTTTTAAGCTAGTTTTGATATATGGGGACTCCATTGAAGCTTCGCGTCTGGTGTGATTCCAAGAAAAATAGTGGTATCGACAAGACTCAGTTCCTACCCAATTAAAATAACTTGTATTTAATTGTTTGATATTTGCAATCATGAATCTCATAGATTTCGTTTTAGTGCCATTTCATCATCATCATTATCATTACAGCCCTTCATAAGTCCACTGCTGAACATAGACCTCCCCCAAGGAATGCCACAAAGCACGTACCTGGCCCACCGGCATCCATCGATTTCCTGCATGTCTTACCAGGTCGTCACTCCATCAAATGGGGGGTCGCCCTACACTTCGCGTACTGGTACGAGGCTGCCACTCGAGAACCTTATTTCCTTATCGGTTTTCGGTTCTTTGAGCTGTATGGCCGGTCCATTGCCATTTCAGCTTACTAATCCGTTGGGCTATGTCGGTTACTATGGTTCTGCTGCGGATATCCTCATTTCTAAGTTTATCACGCAGAAAAACTCCGAGCATAGGCCTCTCCATATCTCCCTGATCGACCTAGAGCGTCCTCATACGGCAAGCATTGAAGGACCACGTCTCAGATCCATAAGTCATCACTGGTAACACCCACTGGTTGTACAATTTCGTTTCCAGGTTTAAGGTATACTACCTGATGATAAGATGTGTCGTAGATTCCCGAACGCTGCCCAGCCGTGTAAAATCCGTCGATTGACCTCTCGGTCAAAGTTGAACTTACCTATTCGGACTTAAACATACTCATCAACAACTTCGAGCTTAGTGCTCCTAACAACTACCGGCATAGGTGTGACATGAACATTAAACAAGATCTTTGTTTTTCCATGTTCATCTTAAGACCTATCCGTTGGGAGACACTATTGAGGTCATTGAGCATAGTGCTTAAGTCCTCCAGCGATTCTGCCATAAGAACTATATCGTCGGCAAATCGAAGGCGGGTGATGTACTCGCCATTGATGTTAATACCGTATCCTTTCCAATCCAGTAGCTTGAAAACGTCTTCCAATGCAGCACTTCGATATACCGACAGTAAACTTGGCACCACTGAAGGTACTGTAGCACCGCTCAAATTTGGACGAAATCAAAGGCTTTCTCATAGTCCATATACGCAAAGCAAAGTGGCAGATTTTACTCTTCTGTCTTCTGTACAATTTTTCCAAGGGAGTTATGTGGTCTATGGTACTAAAGCCTCTTCGGAAACCGGCTTGTTCGGGAGGCTGGAAGTTATCAAGTTTTCATGCGAGACGATTCGTAATGAATCTCGAGTCGCAGCTCAGAAGGGAAATCGGTCTGTGGTTCTTGAAAAGAGCGTCGTCGCCTTTCTTGAAGAACAAGACCGCCACCCACACACCGCACTTCTGTTCCACGCCTCCGGAGTAGTGCCACCATGGAAAGGATGAAATTAAAGAGCTTCTAAAGGACTTCAAGCACCGGTTTTCCACCCGCTTTCAGAAGCTCCGCTGTAATTCCATCCTCACCTAGGGCCTTGCCGTTTTTAAGGTGCAGTGGAGCCATTCTAATCTCGCCCAGACTAACATCCGGGATATCTTCGGAATAGTGTCGGATAAGACTCGCTCTTAGATCGTTACTCACATTTGCGTGTGGCTCCAATGATGACGTGTACAGCTACTCATAGAACCTCTCAATCGCACTTAAAATCTCAGGTGTCCCGGAATCGATGCTGCCACACTCAGTATTCAGCTTTGACAGTTGGCACTTTTTGGCAGTCAGATCTCTAGCAAAAACTTTGGAGACTTGGTTCCGCTCGATCGCTTCTTTAATACAAGCTGTGTAAGCCTGTATGCTGTCAAATTTGTTGAAGACTGCAGCTTCATTTCCTGTCTAAGAGCCATCAGATTAAGAGTGTGGTCGGAGAGTTTTTGTGTTATTCTGCGGCGGGTCTTGCAAAACTTAGCTCCGACCGCGTGGATAGTTTCCACGAGCTTGTCATTCATATTGTCCACTTCATTGCAGTCTTCTAGGCACTGAAAACGGTTTTGTAACTCGAGATGTAAGGTTTCGGGACTTTGGATTAGAGCACCAGAGGGACGGAGCGTTGACTTCATCAGACGAGACATCTCCAACTTAATGTTTAGGTTCAGTGTGCCTCTAGCCATTCGGTGATCGCTTCCAGTTTCCACCCTCGCGATGACGGAGACATCACTGAACAGTTGTCGTCTGGTCGTCATAATGAAGTCAATCTAATTTTTGTTGAAACGTCGGGGCTCTACCAGGTCCACTTCCTGTGGGGTTGCTTCTCATCATGAAGAGTCCCTCTTTCTCTATGAAGTCGGCCAGCTGCTGGCCCCTTGGGTTCCGTTGCCCTATTCCGAATTTTACTACTTTCAGCTCACCGTTCTCGTCCTTACCCCCCCCCCCCCCTTAAATATTAATTATCACCGGACATTGTGTCGTTGTTATTTCACAAATGCGACGCGCTTTCCGCGATTACAATAAGTCGAGAGTAAAGGAGTGTGTGATAACCTAGAACTGATCTATGAGTGTACGAAATACAGTCCACAACGCTTTATCGAAGAACTCTAATTACTGCCGCGTCCAGACATAGTGTACAAAATATTTAAGGCCCCTATTAACCGACTTCAAAAAGGAGACGGTACTCAATTCGACTGTATGTTTTTTATGTGTGTTACCTCATAACTTTTTACAGGGTGAACCGATTTCAATGATTCTTTTTTATTTGAAAGGTTGTGCCTCACATGTATTTCAACTATTGATCAAGGTGTGACCAGTAGTTTTTGAGTTATTCTTCATAATTGATATTAAAGTCGGTTGAACAAAATATTTAATTTTAAATTATTTCAGAAGCTGCTTACTTTTTTATTAAAAACTAAATATAATAGGTAATTTATATAGTAAGATATAAATTATTAAGTGCATACATATTAACACACAGACCCTGAACCTGTAAAATTGTTTGTAAACTACTTACACGCCATACACAAATAATTGTCTCATTCGAGAATCGAAATCAAGACCAGAAACCGTGTATTACAACAGTGTATCAGGTAGATTGTCTAAAATTGTTAATTTTATATTACCATTTTGTATTTAGTTTTGTATAATTTTCAATGAAGGCAATACATAAAGTACAACGCAATATACAAATATACAATACAGAAATATATAATAAACTACATAGTACAAAAATTGCCTTTGTACGTCGTTAGTCATTGATCACTAAAAAGATTTTAAATAAATTATTTTTTTTACATGAACATTGATAATTTCTACTATACTAAGTACTACATAAATAGAGGATTACCAAATTGAATATTTTTTTACGTGACGTTTAATATTCTATGACTTTTTCGTCCAAGGTGGTCGTAAGCATAATTAAAAATGTCATTGATATAAACAAAAATATTTTAAGTCTCCATCTCCATAAAAAATAACAAACACATAAAGTATTTTTGTATTTTTGTAAATCAATAAGAGCCAAGCGATGGGTCAACAATTAAGTATCCAATCCATGATTGCTTTAAAATTGAGATATATTATAATTTAAGAGTCAGAAACTCACCATAGCAATCTTATTTCCATGTTCGCTTAGTCGTCGAATAAAAAAATCACCTAAATTTAATTTAGCCGGTATAAGATGCGTATCAGGGCCATACAAGTATTTTCGATGTCTCAACATTTTGAACGTCTACGGTGTAACCAAACCTACTGTACAATGCATCTTATCTTATTAGCCTGAGTAACTTACATACAATGGTATAATTTAAAAATATCGGCCAAGTGCGATTCGGACTCGCGTATGAAGAGTTCCGTACCATAGTATAAGATTAATACTATGTAGGTACTTGTTAAACACTTTTGTAAAAGAAACAAGTTAGGTCCAACAACTCCCTCAAAGAATGCCACAAAGCACGGTATATCATGGGGGTTCGCCCTACACTTCGCCCAGGCGCAATAACTATATGTAAAGATTTATAAAGTTTTCTAATTTTATTATATCTGTCAATACAAGTTTAAAAAAATATTTCACTGATAGTCCTATCTTGACAATAGAGTCATTGAATACTTCTCCAACTGTCGCCGAGTTATTACTTAAACAAAATGTTTATACCTGTTTAAAAGAATTTGAAAAAGTATTACCACGTAAAACTGTTCAAAACCATTGATATAAAGAAAATCACAAATTTATGGGGGATTTCCGTCACAGTTATTGCATCCATAATATATACAATTGCACCTCATCTTGCTATTATTTTTAATACTAGTATTGTATCTGGAATGTTTCCTGATTTAATGAATCATAGTGAAGTAATGCCTTTTTTAACTCTGATAATACATTGGACCCCGCTAATTTTAGACCTATTTCTGTACTGTCAACTCTTAGTAAAATAAGTAAAATAAAATTTTAAATTAAAAAGCAAAATTTAGATCAAATTCCTCAGGGCTAAATTCTTGGCCCATTCCTGTCTATATAATTACTATATTAATGACTTACCTTGTCTTGTAGGGGACATCACGATACAGTATTATCTGCTGATGATACCTCTTTAATTTTCAAACTCAAACCACAGTCAATTAATTTTGATAATGTAAATAATGCTTTATCGATATTAGTACATTGATTTAACGCCAACAATTTGCTCTTAAATGGAAATAAGGCAAAATTTATTAAATTTACATTACCTAATGTTAAACATTCAAATACCAATGTGCTCTTAATAAGGGAGAAGTTGCGTCTTGTGGATACTACTGTTTTTCTTAGTATTACTATTGACGCGAAGCTTTTATGGGGCCCCCATATATCTGAATTTGCAGACAGACTTAGTACTGCAGCAAATGTTGTAAGAAAGATTAGAAGTCTCACCAATGTGGAAACAGCTAGATTAGTTTATTTTAGTTACTTTCATAGCGTGATGTCTTATGGAATTTTACTATGGGGTAATGTGACTAACATTGAAGCCATATTTGTTTTGTAAAAGAGAGCCGTAAGGACGATTTATAACTTAAATGTTAATAAAGAGTCCCTTAGAGAAAACTTTTAAGAAATAAACATATTAACTATATAGCAATATATTTATGGAAATGTAATATATGTACATAAAAACATAAATAGCTTTAATAAAAATGGAGATGTTCATACTTTAAACACTAGGAAAAACATAAGCTTGTAATAGCAGTTACTAGACTCCACAGAATTAGTAATTCATTTATGGGGCAATGTATACGCTTTTACAACCAAATCCCAGAAAATGTACAAAACTTGTAAATAAACAAGGTTAAATACGTTATGAAAGGAAAATTGTACAAAAAGGATTATTTTAATATCAAAGAATACATAAATCAAAATAACCCCTGGAAATGTCTGAATTTCTATTAAAATTTATTTAAAAATTGTACAAAAAAAATATTTTAAAGTGAAAAATGTTTAAAAAATGTCCAGCTTGGTTTATTGCTGGACCAGCACATATTTCCCAGGAAAGATGTATTTTCCGAATCAGTGGTAAATAAAAATAAAACTTTCAATAAGTATTATGTAATAATCTATATTGAATAAAAGTCATTGTATTTACTGTATGGAGACCCCCTTTAATTTTAAACGTATTTTATTTCATTATACTTTTTTAGCAAATATAGCATTACAAACTCTATGAGCATTTCAAGCATCTACTTGTTGCCATTTTAAATATAGAGCAAAAAAGCCATAATAGCACGTTTCAATTAATAAAAAGCCCCCTTTAATTTTTAATAAATTTTTATCTTTATTTTTTTATTAGTTATAGTAGTTAGTAGAAGAATAGAGGGAACACGTTCCACGAAACGTTTTCTAAAGGCTGGATGGAGTCCCACTAGGCTCCGTCTTGTCTCCACTCCTCTTCATAGTGGTAAACACTGCTCTCTTCGCCGACGATACAGTACTATTTTTATCTGACTATAATAGGAATAGTCTAACTTTGAAACTCCAAAAAGCTACCAATCGCTTAGGCTAATGGTTCCGCCTATGGAGAATCAAAGTGAATCCCGAAAAAAGTGTAGCACAATATTTTCAACGGAGCTCTACGCCAAAAAAATTTTAGGGCCAAAAGCTAAGCTATATATTATCGCCTTATATGGTCGCCCTATCCTTTGGGACAACTTGGCCAAATATCTGGGAGTTACGTACGATGTCAGCATGAGTTTCGCGAAACATATAAGTGTAATTTGCAACAGAGCCAATACAGTCATTGGCCGTCTTCACCCTCTTATTAACAGGAAGTGTAAGTTGTCGCTAAGACACAAACTCCAACTGTACAAAACCTGCGTTACACCTATCATGTCTTACGCAAGTGTAGGACCCACCTATACGAACTATAGGCAGTTCAATATTTTTCATCCGGAAACCGTCGGAACACGGTGGTATCAAC